CAATTTCCACTGTGAGACGGACGACAACAACAACATCGTACGTATCACATAAAGTGGCTGCATTACGAGGTTGCGCACACATAACCACCATCAAAACAAACGAAGGCAGCACGATGTAAACATCGTTACGAGAGCCATGTAAGTTATGCTCTATTGTTGTACTTGCTCTCTCTCTCGGGGTCTGTGTTCTCTGCATCATACTAGATATTACATTGTAAATGTTGTTATTGTTATTATCGTATTCATGTGTGTGGTGTAGTTGTTGTTGCTTTTATTTTTGTTTTTTGTCTGTAACCTCAATTCTAAAAGTGCAGCACAGTTTGTTGTGCATGCATGCTCTGTTATATATATGGGTGTTTGGTTTTGTGTAATGCTGCTGTTGGCGGGGGTTTTGTTATTGTCTGCTAGAGACAAACACACACACACGCATGCACGCAAAACTATCATCATCATCATGAAAACCATGGACTTTGTATGTGCATTATGATGGTAGCCCTACAATGGTGTAGTATGTAATTAATGTTGCAAAGATTGGTTTGTTTCATTTTTTTGTAGTGTAGAAGGAAATGTTGGAGAACAGTTATTGTAGGGGAGAGGAGATGAGAAGAGAAAAATTTGATATAGAATGAAGAGTTTACGTCCAAAGTTGATCGTTTAAACGGTCATATATCGGTTATATATAGTGGTATTGAACTGAAATGAAAATGTATGTTTAAAATATACTAAATATTGCTACGGCTTTTCACTATAAAGACAAACAATTTTAGGGGCAAAAAAATGTTGTTTCAAAAAAATTTTTTTTTGAAAAATATCAAAAACGGTTTCAAAATTCTGAAATCATAAAAAAAAATTTATTACACAAAACATTGTTTTTAAATATTTTTAAAAGCATTCTTTATATGGGTTTCTGTTGGGAGTCTTTATGGACGGAATGAGGAATCTTTAGAGTAGAGCTCAAATAGGCCATTAAGAGCGACTTTGATTTGAGGGACTTGTGGTTCTTGGAGCCATTAATATTAACTTTTGGGGGACTTCGATTTGGGTGACAAGTGTTTCTTCAAACGTGTCTGATTCCCAATACTTTCGAGCTGTATTGTCATTATTCTCAATTACCATTCAAGTCGTATAGAATATCCCTACCGGTCGTATACAACCTACATCAAACACTCCATACGAGAAGTTGTCTTCGTATCAGTTTTAATAGTGTTATTTTTTGTTATTTAATACTGATTTATTATTACACTCATTACTAAAATTTATAGTAAGAATATGTGTGTGTGTTTGTATCTATTTTGTTGTTGCTGCTGTTCTTGTCTACTATACTTGTTATGTGTCTATGCCCAACTGGCGTCATAGTGTGCTCATTTTTCTTGCAAATTTTGCAGTCTGTCTGTCAGATTGCCCTGCATATTTTTATTTCTCCCCCTCTCTGAAAAGAGTCTACTAGGCAACAACTCAGATTCCCTCCCTATCAAGCAAAAAGTCTGTGTTTATGTCTGGCCACAGTTTTTGTTGTTGTTGTTGCACTATCAATGTAGCCACATCTAGCTATACATTGGTGCTGTCCCATCAGATACCTTTTTTCGAATTACTATGGTTGGCTTGCATGTTTCAATTTTCAAAGCTTTATTTGCAGTTGGCCCCCATATACACTTCCTCTCCCTTTTCGCTCGGAATACTATTTTTTTACTATTAATTGTAGTTTTGCTTCTGTTTTCATTTCATTTTCTGTGTTATTTTTTTATTTTCTTAAGGGGAGTTTAATATTTCGCTTCCTTGTTGCTGAACTCAGCACATAATTATAACTACATCAACGACGACCATAATAACAACAACAACAGAAATAAAACGTTAGGTTTTCTATTACACGTTATTTCGTTTTTGTTGCTCTTTTCGCATTTTCTGTGTTTACAAAAACAAAAATAAGACACACACTACTGTTTTTCTTTCAACCGTCTTCTTCTTGTTGTTGTAGTAGTTCCTTTTTCTTTTTTTGTTTATTTCATACTTTGTGTTATACTTGTTTTGTTTTTGTCTCTACAAGGCAGACAACCAAACATCAACGAATGAGAACACAACAACAAAATCGATAAAAGTTGTTCTTTTTTTTCGTGTGTGGACAATTTTAATGGTTTGTTTACGTTTTATTTTTTGTTGTTGGTTTGGCCCAACAATAATAAAATAATCAACATACCAAACTCTCTTAGCGGAACACAGAGAATGCTGTTGGCAGTTATTCTCTTACAATCCACAAAAATAAACGGCTCTTTCGTTAAGTGAATTTCAATTTGATTATTTCTCTTGGTTAAAAGACGACAACGCTCTTTGTTGTTAGATTATGATGACGAGCGATGACGATAAGGCCAAAATGTTTTTATTTGCTGTTCGGTTTGTTACGAATGGAAAAGAAATACAAAAAAAAAAAAAATAGATGCGCTGTTTTTATATAGAGGGGTGGTGTAATGAATACTTACAACACCACTACATGCAAACACACATAGTGGCAGCACAGAACACACAATATGGTGGTGTTCTCATGTAAAATATGTAACAGAGAGAAAATATTTCGTATTTACAACTTTGCTAGGCACCAACAAGAAGGAAGGAAGTACACCTTACATAAAAAGGTTCAAAGGTTATTGGGATGATGTGGTTGTGGTTGTTGTTTTGTAATGAAATTTTGTTTTCATTATGAAATTAAGTTAATAAAAAAATAATTAATTGTTGTATATTTAAAATAGCTAATGGGAAATGTTTGAGGAGGAGGATAATTATTTAAGTAATTACTAAATATTGAAGATATTTGTTAGCAATTTTCGCATTTTTTTCGGAAATTTGGGAGATAAAAATAAAAGATAGATTTCTTATAGAATTACCTAAGGTAAAAAAAAACATGATAAACAAATAACTGTCGCATGTTCATAGGAGTTTTCCTTCTTGAGCAAGAAAATCTATTATTAAAAACAAATTAATATAATTTTGAGTAAAATATGTAAGTTAAAATAAATGAAGTATTTCAGTTCCAGCTGGGAAAATTCATGGATCCCTCATCGTAAAATGTCATTATTTAACTGAAATTTAAAATTTCAGGGAATTTATGTACAGTACAATTCATACAACATAATATAATATTAAACTATGTATGTACCAAAACAATAAATAATACAACGCATTTTCAGTTTTATTAATTGGTTTAAATTTATATTAATTTGGTGACAATTTAATTATTTTTATGTTTTCATTAAAAATGAAAATTATTTTTCAAAAATATGAACTTTGAATATAATAGGTACCATTTTCAATTAAATTTGCAACGATTTTTTTTATTAAAATAAAAAGTAACAAATTTAATTGAAAATCCGGATTTTTGAGTCAAAAGTTCATATTTTTGAAATGAATAATTTTAATTTTTAATAAAAACATAAATATAATTAAATTATCACCAAATTAATATAAATTTAAACCAATTAATACAATTCATATAACATAATATTAAACTATGTATATACCAAAAAAATAAATAATACAACGCATTTTCAATATACATACTTTAAAATAATTTTTAATATAAAAAATACTTCACATCAATATTACATAATATATAAATTTTAGAAAAATGCTTGAAAAATTTTAATTTTTTTTATATATATAATTTTTAGATTTTTATATAATATATATATATATATACTTTAATTATTAATTTGTAAGAAATATATCATTATTTTTGAGTAAATTTTAGAAAAATGCTTGGAAAATTTTAAATTTTTTTATATATAATTTTTAGATTTTTATATAATATTATACATAATATTTACTTTTATTATTATTTTTAGTAAATATTAATCATTATTTTTTGGTAAATTGTATATTAATTAATTTTTTTATATTTTTTTAATTTCATATTTATGTATTTAGTATTTAAATAGTTATTTTTATTTATTTTTTAAAGCACTTAAATTTTGTTTTTTTTTCTTGTGTGTTATTTTTTTTTTAACTTCTATATTTTCAAATTTATCTCAATAAATATTATATATTATTAAATAATAAAATTTTGTGTTAGTTTTTGGTTTTATTTTTTAATTTTTATTTTTCAAATTTTTTGATATTATTTATTCCACATTCTAGATTTTTATTCACTATTTAAATTCACGCACTTTTTAAAATTGATTTAATTTAATATTTTTATATAAGTTTGTAATTAATTTTTTTAATTTATTTATTATCACAACTTATTAATTTTCAATGTGTTTTTAAAATATTTAATAAATATTTGTAAAAATTTTATTGTTCATTATTACAAATTATTAATTTTTAAAGTATTTTTTTTTATATATTATATTTTTTTAAATATATATTTTTATGAATTTATTATTTTTTGTGTTATTACTTTATTTTTTATTTGTTATAATTCAAAATTATATATTTTTTCAATTCTTCAAATGCAAGTTCATATGCCAGTTTTTTCTTTATAATTTTTTTCTTTTAGAGAGTTATTTTTTTAATTTTTATTTATTTTAATTTTATTATTATACTTCTTTAATCACATTATTTTTGTTATTTTTAATTTTATTTATTACTATTAAAATTTTAAATTTTTATTTTAATTTTTATGTTTAATTATTTAATTGTTTTTAATTCGTTATTTTTTTAATAAATTATTTTTTTGTTTCTTCACTTTTCTTAATGCATTATTCTTTTATTTAATTTTTTTATATTCATTATGTTTTTTATAATTTTTTTATATTTATTATTTTTTTTATCATTTTTTATAGTTATTATTTTTTATAATTTTTTATAGTTATTATTTTTTTTTTTTTTATGTTTAATTTTTTTTATAATTTTTTTATAATTTTTTTTATAATAAATTTTAAATGTATAATTTTTTAATTTTAAAATTTTTGTTTGAATTTATTATTTATTTTTATATATTTTTTCCTTTAAGTTTTGTTTCCCTTTAAAATAAATAATATAAAAAAATAAATTTTGTAAAATATATTTACCTTCATAAACTTCAATCGGCGCACAACAAAATTGTTGATTTTATTGGACCAGCTTTTACATTTCATGAGGAGGCCTTTATTTGGTATAGCTTGGATCCCGTTTTAAATATGGGAGGGAGGACTGCTGGTTCGTTTTGTTGTAAGTATTAAGCAGCTTACAACAAATTCACTTAAATCACCAGTAATATTGTTGTAACTTTTTAAAACGATTTTTTTTAATTGTTATTTTTTTCTTTCCTGTTATGGAATTGTCACAACTAAGAGCAGCACAAAATTGTTGTTGTTGATATTTTGAAAAATTAGGTAGGTAGGTGGTGGCGTTTGGGCTGGTAATCCTTGAATGTGGCACAAACACCTTTGTTTTGCAATAGTTTGGTTTTGTTTACAATTTTTTTTGTAAAACAGAGAAATTTGTTTTCTTTCAAAAATTCAATTTATAATTCAATAATTCTTTTTTCAGTAATTACTCTTTTATAGTTTCTACTTTTTTTTAAATTCAAGTAGATATTTTTTAATTCACTTTGTATTTATTTTTATTTCATTTGTGTTTTAGCCATGATTTGAAATGGCTTTTTTGCGATTTGAATTTTTTTTCAATTTTTTCCAATTTTAGTTTGATATTTTTTTGTTTTTCACAAACTTTCAATTAAACTTGCTTGTGCGTTTATTTTCCATGAAAATAAACAATTTTCATTATTTTTCTGTTTGCATAAATTTTTGTTTTTCTTTGCTTCACATTTCATTTCTTTTTCAAAACAAAAAATAAATTAAATCATTTAAATTTTGGTTGTTTACCAAAATTTGTCTGGTTTTGTTTACTTGTGTTTGTTATTGTTGTTTTTTGTTTTCAAATTTAAATTGCAATAACGCTTCTGCTAATATTTGTTGTTGTTGTGTGTATATAGTAGTGGATATATATTTCAATAATTTTCCGCAACAACGTCCGATACGCGCCAAGTTCAGTTTAAAAATGAATCAAACAAATGAACAACGTCCGTAGCGCACCAAATTTAAAATAAACTGCCATTACATTACACAGCAGCAGTGAATCGTCGTCGCTCGCCACTCACAACAGCGAGATAATGTGTGTGTGTTTTGTTCGGTTTTGCGCACAAAACGATGGCAAGGCAATCCCCCATACAAAACAAATACACACAATATACACACTCATATTTTACGGCTGCTCGTTGCACAGAGAGAGAGAGAGAACAACTGGAAATGAACCAACAGCAATGTGTAGTAAACAACAAAACGGAACGATGGCCTTTTCGTTGTATTCATCCAGTTCGGTCGTGGTAAAGAGAAAAAACCAAATGTAAACAAACACAATCCACTATTAAGCGAGCGAAAAAAATGAATAGACCTGCATAAAGAGAGAGAGAGACAGTACTGTGTGTTCTATTCCAAAATGTTCTCGCATGGTCTATATTGTTTTGTTATGATTACTGGTTTGTTTGGCTGGGTCAGAAAAAGGGCGCGCAAAAAATCCACAAATACTACATGCATTTTTTTCTGCCAGTCCCTCTCCCTCTTGGCCAACAACAAATATAACAAAAACAACAAAAAATCGTAATATGAAAACAATGCAACCTGTAATGACCATTTGGAGGTTTTTTTTTTCTTCTACACTGAACAAATAAAACACTTGGAGGTTATCGACTTCAATGGCTTCTAAATTATGAAGCATTTAAGCGATTTTTATGGAAAATATATCAAAATGTTGATAATTATCCCTGTTTTTATTTATTAAAGCAGAAATAAAAATCTATTTACAAAATATAACATAAAATTTTAAATTTAAAATAGGAATTTTATAAAAAAATGTATTATATAAAAATTTTAAAACACAAATCGTATTTTATTAAAAAAAATAAAATTATATAAATAAATCGAAAAAATCCACTGATAAGTTAAAAAAAAAGTTGTATAATTACATATAAAACGTTCTACCTCAAGCAAAAAATACAAATAAAATTAAAAAATCCTTTACATATAAAAAAATAAAAAAAAACTGTAAATCTATTAAAATTAGCAACAATATGTACAGTACACTTCGGAAAATCCTAAATTGCTAGAATTCGTAGAAAACAATCAATAATTCGTAAAATAAATACTTGGAATAAAAACTAAAAAAAAAAACAGTGAGCGGAGTAATATCGTCGGACGGGGTCTACCATACGATACCCTACACAACTACCACGGAACTCTAACTTTCTGCCCATGTTTATTCTGGGCCTGGGCAATAGTTCGTAATATATGCATTCTCTTGCCCGATTAGAGGTCAACAGTACCTCTTTCTTACACTGACATATTTTGCGAATATTACTAATATTCGGTACAGTCCTTCTAATTACTTGTCCAGATTCCCTTTACCTTGGGTTGTGTTGTGATGTTCGGCTTATAATTGTGGCCTATGGATCGACTCGAAAAAAAAACACACACAAAAAAATAAGTTTTCGGTCCACTTCATCCCAAAATTATTATCTGATCATCACCGAAAATTATTGGCGTTGACCTTGACCACTACTGGAACCTCATGGAACATTCCAAAGCGATCAGCTCTATATTTCTGCCCTCCAGTGTGTTAATGGACAAGGCAAACCACTCCTCTTGGATACACTACCAACTTCTCGGGTCTATGTCCTTCAGGGGTAAATATTTACTCTTAAAACCTTTTAATTTTTCACACAAAAGTCAGGGTCCATTTGACCCGCTAAATATTTGCCGATCTTTATCAAAACAGGCATGCTTATTTTTTGGCCCGATCCCCTTCACCATCTAAAAATTCGCGATGTTTGGACCATATTTGTGGCCTGTGGAGCTACCAGAAAAACTGATAAAAATTAGGTATTTGGTCCATTCCATCCCCTAAATATTAACCGATCTTTACCAAAAACAATAGGGGTCTTCATTGGACACAACCCATCCTGCGAAATTTCGTGACGATTGGTCCATAACTGTGGCCTGTATCGTGTTTACACATTATAATGGACAGACGGACGGATACACATGTCTAGATCGACTCAGCTAGTCGAGATATGACGATCGGTATTCTTAAAGGTGGGCGTTACAAACTCTTGGGGCTGCACAAAGCTATAATAATATATAATTATAATTATTTTATATTGAAAACATAGTCTTCCAATAAATATACTAAAGATTTTTCAAAAACTCAACAAATGTATGCGTACATTTCTTTAATAGTCATTCCAAAATAGTATTTCAAAATTCCTCAAATTCAATATAACATTTAACAAAAAATAATTCGTTGTTTTTCCCAAATGTTTACTACCTCAAAATATGTTAATATTTTTTCAATTTTCATTCAATTCAATACTAATAAGAACAATTTCTCTTCGAAAAACACCGCACCTAAAATATGAAAACCCCAGCGTTTAATTAAAAACACAACATTGACATCACTCTTCCTCTGAAAACCAACCTTAGCTTTGAAGAATGTTGTTGTTAAAATTTCTTGTTGTCTCCTTCAAATATCTCAGTCATAAACACACGGACGTACACACACACACAAAACAACAAAGCACAAAAAATCAAAACAAGTGCATTTGCTAAGCCTACCCAACAGCAACACAACACAGCAGCACCCAGCCACCGCCACCAGCCTGTAGCTTTGTTATTGTCATGAATTTGTTTATTCTGTACCGTTATGTTTTGGCTGACTTGTGTGGAGTTCGATTGATTGTGTGTGTAGATGTTTGGTTGCAGTTGTTGTTTTTTTGATGTACTTCATTGGAATTTTGTATGGTATGCGGTGCTGCTGCTGAGTCCCCAATCCCCCATTCAAGCTCTTTGTTTGCCGTTGTTTGATGATCACATTGTTGCTTGCTCCAACTCAACTCAAACCCCCTTGACAATCATTGATGGATGAATTGGCTGGCCGAGTGACTGAGAACATACAATAAATGTTAATGCAATTATGTTTGTGGTTGTTTATTGATGTTTGTCACAACATTGTTTGTTGTTTTGTATGTTTTTTTGCCAATTGATAAACATGTTGTGTGTAAAAGTAATGTTTGTGCGTTTGTTCATTTGTATGGAAGCATGTCAACGTTTGCGAGAAACCACGATAATATTCTAGATTTGTTGTAAAATAAAAAAAATAGCAAAAAGTGAATCTGAATGAAGAATATGTATGTGGTGTGTATGAAGAGAAAAAAAATACAAAAACATGCAAATAAAAATAACAACAACAGCATTGCCAAAGTGTGTCATCAAAACAAGCATGCACTTGCTTTTGTCGTTGTTGTTGCAGTTTACGGTTATGGTGAAATTCAAAACAAAAATTTACAGCCGCCACCACATAAAATATTGTAAACAATTTAGTAAAGACGACGGCGGCGGTGATAAAGCAAAGCCACTGCTCGGGATGGCATGGAAGGAGAAGAGTGCATTGAACTGTGAACAGCATTCATTGCGCATACATATTTTATGGACAGTGTTTTGAGGGAGAGAAAATAATTTGCATATGAAAAATATTTAAATATTCAATTAAAAATTCAATATTTTAAAAATTTTTTAACAATTTTAAAATTAGCATAATTTCTTGAAATTTTTTCAAAAATTAAATCAAAGCCCTTTCAAAACCATTGTTAAAATTATATATTTTCCATATATCGACGCCTCCGAACCATCGTATGTTAAGTCGACTTAGCATGTTTTAAAGTTCTTTGCTTTTTTAGATACTACGGCCCTTAATTTAAATTTAGTGAAATTTTGGTAATCATCTGTCAATCCAAACCAAAGTTATAACCACAAATGTACTTAGCATGGCACGTACGATTAAAGAAACTTTCATACTTTGAAAGCTTCTACCGATCGTCATATCTCGACTAGCTGAGTCGATCTAGACATGTGTGTCCGTCCGTCCGTCTGTCCATTATAATATGTAAACACAATACAGGCCACATTTGTGGACCAATCTTCACGAAATTGTGCATGTAGGATGGGTTCTGCCTAATGAAGACCCATATTGTTCTTGGTAAAAATCCGTTAATATTTAGGGTATGAAATGGACCAAAAACATTTTTTTTTGTCTGATATTCTGGCTGCTCCAGAGGCCGCAATCGGGCCAAAGAATAAGCCTGCCTGT